CCGTTCTCTTTAGTATATGGCGCCAAAGCTCTAATCCCGGTTAAAGTCGGGGAACCCAGCGTCAGGTTTCGATATGCAACGGAAGAGTCAAATCATGAGGCTATGAATACAAGCCTCGAATTGCTAGATGAAAAATGGGAAGCCGCTCTCGTTCGAATGGACGCACAGAAACAGCGGATCAAAAGGTACTACAATCGAAGAGCCAATCTTTGACACTTTAAAATCGGGGACTTGGTTCTGAGGAAGGTCACCCTTAATACTCAAGAACCAAATGAAGGAAAACTTGGCCCGAGCTGGGAGGGACCGTATCAGGTCCTCGATATTATCGGAAAGGGATCCTACAAACTTGGCACAATGAACGACGAACAATTACCAAACTATTGGAACATATCACTCCTCAAACGATATTACTGCTAAGGTACGACCTTCTCAACTTTCGTTTATATTTTATACTAACCATTTGCAGGTGTTTAATCGAAGACATCAAATGATTCTTCAAACACAAAGTCCTTAGGTCTGAAAGCACGCGTTGCACTCTTTTTCCCTTAGACCGGTTTTTGTCTCAAATGGGGGTTTCCGACGAGGTTTTTAACGAGGCAACCATTATTTGTGCTAACTTAGAGCAATTCAACAGTATCCGAGGCTCCTTTACAATCAACCTCGAATACTGGGGGGCATCACCCTTGGATAGTTACAAGGAAAATACTTCATGCCGACGGGGTCTCGATAGGTAAATTTTGTAAGGGTCAAATGATCGAATGAACCATGCCCATGTAGATTACTCGAGCCCTAATGGCAAACATGTACGCATGTTAATCTATTGAAAAAGGTATTTTTCTTGCCAGATATTTCATGCCTTAGAGAAATTTTTACTTTACAATGTCGTGCTTGTGATCTATTGTGGAAACTGGCTTAAGGGCCGGTCACAACTAAAGTTTGAACAACTGACCCCGCACTCGGGGACCGCCATCATAAAAATCGATATGATCGAATTACTAAAACCTTGAGATCGTAAGACCTTAAAAAGGAAACCCTCGATTTTATAGGCCACGACCATCCCACTCGGGGACTGATACTTCGAACTTGTTCGAAGTATAACAGGGGAACAAGCCCAAAAGGCGAGTCCCAAGCTAAAGGCTATGGTAACACAGTTCAGAGACGTCCAATTTTCGTTATAAAACAGGCCTTCGAATATTTTCATAAACCGGTTAAAAGCCTACCCTAGCCTGAATTACTAAGGTTCTCGATAATATCGACCCTCGAAAACCCTAATGGGTACAAAGTCGTTCGAACTCTTGAACGAATTCTTTATTTTATGCTATAACATTATGAAATAGAGGGTCTCGATAATATCAACCCTTGAAAACCCTAATGGGTACGGAATCGTCCGAACTCTCAAGAAAAACCCTTATTTCTTGCTAAGGTACAACAAATTTTATATGAGTAAACGATAAACTTTTCAAGCCGAAAAAGGGGAGAAAGCCATTCATTTTATTATGGCCTTATCGACCTAATTCAAGAGCCTAAATGGCCATTTTATTTCTGAGTTTGAGAAATCATCCTCACTCAATTAAAATCTAAGGGTCACCCTACTTCGAGTTCGAGCAAGTACTCACTCGATTAAGACTATACTAGTTCGGCTTCGGTCAAGTTGCCTAAGCCTCGAACTTATGAGCAAATTTTTCATAAAGTATGAATGAAACAGAAAAAAGATCTTATATATATATATATATATATATGAAGGTATTTACAAGGACCGATCAGGGTCCCACACAAAAAAATCAAAAAAAAGCCTAAGATTCCTAATTTTCCTCAGGGGCAGCTTCTTCTCCATCGAGGTCCTCCAGATTCTCGGACCCGCTCTTGCTGCCATCATCATCATCATCATCATCGGAAGAGGCCATTGCTCCAGCATCAGCTTCATGCTCTCTAGCCTTTATTATCTCGTCGGTAAGATCGAAACCTCGAGCGTAGATCTCCTCGAGTGTTTCCCTCTGAGATTGGCATTTGGCGAGTTCAGCAATCCAATATGCTCGGGTTTGAATGGTCTCAGTTGCATCTCTTTCTTGGACTTGAGCGGCTTTAGCATCGGCCCGGTAGACGGCCACGATCGTATCTACCTCGACCTTTGCCTTTTCAGCTTCAGATTTGGCCTTTGCAAATTCGGAAGCCAACTGAGCCTCGAGATCCTCTATTTTCTTTGCCTGAGCCGAGATATTCTCTTTCATGCTTCGAAGATGACTTTCGACCGATGACAATTGGGCTCGAGCAACCTCTTTTTCAGCAGCAAAGCGGTCCATATTTTCTTTTCACCCCAAGGTCTCCGCCTTCATCATGTCGACCTCCTTGCGGAATTGCTTGATCTTTTGCTGCAGCTGTGAGATTGAAATGTTAGCCACCGTTTTCGAATCGAGCCCATGAGCTTTTAAGATTTTCATTACCTGCTCGGTTAGGTTGGTCTGATCTTGGTGAACCTTGGCCAACTCGGCTCGGAGGTCCTTGATCTCCTCTTCTTTTTGCCCACTAAGAAGTTTAAGGGCATTTCTCTCCTCCGTGAGCCCTCGGAGGTCGGCCTCACATCGGCTCAGCTCTGTTCGGGACTTTGAAAATGCCTCCTGATAGAGCGCCAATGCCTACGCAGAAAGAAGAAAAGAAGTTAGACATGAAGAGAAAAATGAACACAAGGGTAATACCAACAAAGAGAGTTAAGGCTTACCCGATTCAGAGTTTGCTGCGCTTCGTTGAAAAGGCTCGATGCCTCGCCCGAGTCCTTCCTCGAGACCTCCAAGTCGCTCAGGCTGGTAGCATTTTTGACCCCAGTAAAGTAATTATGGAAGGGGTCCTCCCTTTCATGGGCTCCTTCGATGGAGGGGGTCTTCAAGGCCCGAGCCTCTTGAATCATCTCCTTAGAAAACGAAGGAAGCAACAGGGAGCCTCCAATTTCTATTGCCCCAAGTGGATCACTTGGGGCGTTCTCTCCATCTCGAGGGACCTCGAGACCAGCCCCTACATCCGTACTCACCGTTGGCTCATTATGGTGGGAGGCATTTTCAATCCTCGATGACTTGGGGACTTCGCCCAAGTCTCTTCCCGAGACCCCCTCATCTCGAGATGAAGTCTCTGCAGCCTTCACCGATTCAGTGGCCTTTGGGGCCTCGGTGCTCATCCCCACTCGGGCCACCAGCCCGGAGTCGTCTTCTTCCTCTTCTTCATCTTCCCCCCTTAGACGCCGAACAAAGTCTTAGGTCAGAAGGATGATGTTCTTCTTCGACTTACGAGCCTTCTTCTTCTTCGGTTCTGGATCCTTGGAGGTTGAGGTCTTTTTTCTCTTTTTGTCCTTCGCCGGTTTTGGTGGCAGGATCGAAGTATCCCCCTCACTAGATAGGGGCCTCATGACCGCATCCTTGCTTAGGCCTGTACACGAGAAAATTGAATAAGTAGAAGAAGGGCATCTTACTCGAATCATAAAATACACAAAACGTGGGCTTACCATGAGTTTTGGCCTACCAATCGGCCCTTTGATAAATCGTGCCATGAGCGCTCGACGTATGTAGAGGTCAAGGCCAGGTTCTGAACCTAGCTCTCGAGGTCGGGAATCATATGGGGCATCCAAGCGACTGCTACATCATGATAAAATACATCGATGTGAAAAGACAAAGGAACAAATAGTACATGGAAGCTAACAGTGAGACGATACTTACGATTCATGTTTCATTTCTCAGGAATTGGCATCTTCTCGGCTGGGATTAGGTCGGGAGTCCTCACTCGAACGAACCGGCCCATCCAGCCTCGATCCTTATCCTTGTCTATGCTCGAGAACATCACTTTGGTAGCCTGGCGTTGGAGTTTTATTAACCTGCCTTGATAGAGGCGGGGGCTATAAAATCTGATAAGGTGATCGAGGGTGAAAGGGAGCCCCTCGATTTTGCTCTCGAAGAATCGGAGCAGAATAACAATTTGCCTAAAGGAATGATGGATTTGTCCTAGGGTTATTCGATATTAACAACAAAAATCAACGATGACGGGGTCGAGGGGCCCCAATATGAAAGGGTAAGTGTAAACACTTAGAAACCCTTCCACATGGGTGGTGATGTCTTCTTCGGGGGTCGGGATCACCACCTCTTTGCCCTCCCAGTTGCAGTCATTCTTTACCTGCTTAAGGTATCCCTCAGTTATCGAGCATATATACCTCGATAGTGGCTCGCATCTACCAGGAATCGACGAGGCTTTATCGATCTTGAAATCGAAGTATAGCGCGTACCCCCTGGAATGCATTCCTCAAGACGGGGTTCCACCGGCGCTTTCCCGCCGGCCGGTTGAGAAGATGAAGCAGTTTCTTTCTGTGGTACCGTTTTCAGTATTTTTGCCATTTTTGTGTAAGTTTAAAGGAGAGGAAGATAATATGACTTGGCGTTTGAGAAAGGATTAACAGCAAAACCTGAAGATTTGTAAAAGGGAGAAACTTAAGAGATAAAAGCTTTGAAGATTAGAAGGAAGTGAAAGTAAAGTTTGAATCAATGAGGAAGAGGTCTATTTAGGAACGGTTAATTAGCTAATCATGGGATTTTCTTTTGTAATTAGAGTTATACCATAAGTAGAATTCCTCTGCTATATAAAGGGGAGTGTTAACCATTTGTAAGATAGATTGTTCTCGCATAAAAAAAGCCAATATAACGCTCTCTCTTTAGCTTACATTCTCCTGTTCATCAACTTGCTTTATTTTTAACTGCTTTAGTATCAATCAGTTCGAGGGCACCCTAGCTCGAGGATTGAATTCCGTTTCAACACTGGTTCGCTTTATTTTATAGTTTATTTCTGTTATTAATCTTCATATTTATCAATTGGTAGTAAGTGAAATCACGTGTCCCTGGAATCATATTATAAATTTAATTGTTAACCAATTTTAAGGGTAAGCAGTGCTATCTATTTATGGCACAAACATATTATGAGTTACTACAGTGAACTAATATTAGCGTTAGCAGTACTATAAAGTCATGTAGTTTGTCATACGTTTCTTTATACAAAATTATGGTGGAACAAAAATTACATACAAATATAGCACATGTTTTGTATGAATTACAAATTTAAAACACATATCTATAATGATTTCAAGTCTCCCCCAGGAGTTCTTGTGATATTTACTCTGACCGGAGACCAGATATCATGAAAATAACGTCACATATCATACATGTGCGCATCCCTGTCATTATTTCGAGCCATACTGATAGAATGAAGCACCAATAATGTAGTAATATTTTTGGCTACTTTCTGCTGATCAACCAAACACGTGGCTCATTTGAATGCAGTACAAGCGTATCCACTGCACAAACCTGTGGTGCTGTTGTACGGGAACAAGCAAACGGGTCGACCCGGTGGCAACTCAGGAATTGGTTTCTCCATATTCAGGAACTCCACCACTTCTTCCATGGTAGGCCTTCCTTTGTTCTCATTCAACGTACATAGCAACCCGATATCCAATACCCGAATTGCCTGCTCCAGGTTCACAACCGCGCCCATTCTTCGATCCACCAACGTTTCCTTCTGTTGTACCTCATGCATGGCCCATGCAAGATCCAACAAGTCACGTTCTCCCGGGTTAGACTTCCTGCTCCGACCCGCAACAGTTTCTAGCACAACAACTCCAAACTCAAACACATCTGCTGTCTGACTCACCATCGACTCGAACCGAGTTGACCCAGTCGAAGTAAGCACAAATCCGAAATCACCCACTACTGCTCTGAAGCTCACGTCAAGAAACACACTGCTACTTTTCACGTTCTTGTGAGCAAGTTGCTTCGAGTGTAGGTAAACAAGAGAGTCTGCTAAATCTTTAACAACCTTAAAACGCCTCGTCCAAGGCAAGACACCGACGCCAAATAGCCATTTGTCTAGGCTACCATTTGGGATGTAGTCGTACACAACTATAGTTTCTTGGTTATCATAGCACCATCCTCTAACGGGGACCAAATTGGGGTGACGAATACTGCTGATGGCCTTAATTTCCTTGTGAAATCTTCGCTTGTCAAATCCATGAGTGTTGAAAAACTGAGTTAAAAATCGTTTTACAACTACGTTGCACCCATTCAGCATCGTGGCCTTATACGTGACGCTCTTCTCGTCACTGCCCAATATTTGCAACTCACTGAAATTCCTAGTTGCGACTGAGATTTCGGCTATTGTAAAGCGACGTGCTTTATTTGGTGGCCTTGGTCTTTGCTTTTTCTCGGGCAGAATGATTGTTTCACTGGAATTGTCATCTCGCTTGTAGCTACTAAAATAGAGATTAATAAGAACAATTACTAGAAGAATGACAACAGCAAGGAAAATAAAGAAACTATTTGGCGTTTTGCTATGTGCAGTTTCAGCTTGCGGATTATTTTGAAGCATGATTTTATTCTGACATGTCTCTGTTGAAGGAATTCTAAGGGAAGCTTGACTAACTGAAGTGAAATTCCAGGACAGGACATTGTGAATTTGTGTATGGTTACCGGTTGCAGCTGAAAATCCTACGAACATGTACTCATTCAAGTAAGGCGAGAGGTCAAGAAAACCAGAGTAGACTGATTTAGAAGGATATTCTTTACCATCCGGTGCAAGACGGATATCGATATATCGCCTCTGCCCATCGTAAGATATCCAAACTCGGTGAGCTGACCCGTCATTCAATTGAACACCAACGTCGGAAGCATTTATGGCTGTTGTTGAAACTATGCTTCCTAAATTGATGCCCAAGTGATTGTCATTTGGATCACCAAATTCAGGATTCTGGCGTGTATCAAACTCAATAGCTACTGATTTGTAATCGTCGTCGCATAGATCGTTGAGCATCCCAAGCCACGGACCAGAACGACCAACAGTTAATTCGTCGGGGACAATAATAAAAGTAAAGCCGCTACCACCAACGGATTTGCCAAGATCTGATGTCCCGTTGCTCGAATTGGACTTCAATACTTGGAACTGAAATGAGAAGGTTGTTTCAAATGAAGCTGGTGTTTGAGACAGAGGATCGAAGAAACGAATAGGTGAAGAGTATATAGCTCGTCCTGCTAAATGCTTAAGATCACCTTCCTGTTCGGGGTCAGGAATTTGAACGGTTGATTTTTCGTCTGAGACGATAGCGCTGCCAAGTAGTGTAAGATCTTGCTTCAGTCTTGGATTTTTGGAACTGAAATCTTGGAAAGAAATATGCTTAGTCACATTAATTACAGGTCCTCTTGGAACTGATGCAACTAAATTAACAAGTACGGCAAACAGGAAAAAGAACCAGTAATAGTAATCCATGATTTGAAATCTTGGCTAGTGGAGAAGATAGGATTTTGTCAGTAGCAAATTAGCAATTGCCAAGGTTGTGTATAAGCTTGTTGAGTCTATAGGGGGTACTTAGCTAAAGGCATGTGGTCTGCAGATAACTTCGTTTCACTTTCTTCCAAAACATGAGAATTGAAGTCTGCAACTAACATAATTGTTAAGTTTTTGTCCTATTTTAATTCTATAAAAGTAATTAAAGGGGAATTTAAATTTTGATGCTTTAATGATTGGGATGACCTGAGACACATATTAGGAGTCTCCTTGCGACAAGCTACATTGGCTCTATCTAAATAATGACACCGACCTTACCCAACAATCACATCTTAAAGTATGCTCTATTACCACCCCTGCACTAGCATTATCTAATTCCTATGATGCAATTGGGGCTTATCGGCTTTCATACCAGTCCTTAGAGGAATGTTAAAGATAAAACTTCGTTTGAAACGATGTGAATCACCGGAAGGAAATACTGGTGATACGCCGAGAAAACTTTTTTTATTGCAAAATTTAGGACACCCCTATTATCTCGTCCTCGAGACTGATGACGCCATATCCTCAATCCGATTAATTCTTAACAAAAGGGGCGGATTTAGGGGTGGGGCGTAAGGGATTTACCTGAAGCTTCTTCGCCGTAAAATTACATTGTACATATAAGACAAAATCTATTTTGTACCTTTATATATTATATTTTGAATCTCATTGACACAATTTAAATGCGTAGCTCCATGCTTAGGGGGTTCAAAATCTTAGTGAGGTTGCTAGTTAAATTTAAATTCCAGCTGGTCACAATCTTTTTTAACTCGAACAAGGTGATGAATTAGTAGAATTAAAATAGTAGGTCCACTTTTGACTCTCCACATCCCACCATGTCATATGAGGTTACCCACACGACAATTTTTAACTCAAATTATCAGTTCCACTAAGAATTGTTAATTAATTGATGTTTGTCTGTTCCAATCATTGACAAGCTCCTGATTCATCTATTAGTCACTAATCCTTCGTTATGTGTTCGTCAAATTTTGTGAGCCCAATAAATGGACACGGAAAGTAGAACAAATCTATAGAAGCTGATTAAAACATAAGAAAATCTTACCCAACTATTCGAAGATGTAATGTATCTAACCAAACTAAGTAATCGCCGCAACAAATTAAATGGCAAATTGATTAGGTGACTGCAAAAAATAAACAAGCTTGAATGAGATTATTTACACCTAGAGGCGGACCTACGTTGTAGGTTGAGGGGTCACGGGACTCCGTTAGCCTCGGCAAAAATATTGTATATATATGTTTTATATATTTGTCATATATGGGACCCCTTAAATATTAAAGATGTCCCCTCAAACACAAAACGGTGGATGGAGAAGTGGTTATGTTGGGCATTTAAGTCTGCTTCTTGTCTACATGACGTGGGTTCGACACCCTTTTCAGCCTTTTCTCCTTTTTGTCTTAGTTCTTGGAATACAACCGTGCAACTTACCGTTAACATACCCAAATTCTTGATTTCTTTAGTAAATTTTGATAATTTGAACATACCCTTTTTTTATTTATTAAAATACTAAATATCTAAAGCGTGAAACATGCTTAATCAAACACCTTTCCTCTCCATAGCATGAATCTCTCTTTGTTCAGTACTTTCTGTTTCTTTAGAACTTCTTTTTATTTATACTTAAACGATAAGTCATCATAACATCAAGTTTTCAAAGAGTTGCACGCTGAGTTTAATTTATCGCTAGTGATTAGCATATAGTGGTGCACCCATTGTGTTCAAATCCTGGGTCCGCCTCTGTAATTACACCTGTTGTCGAAATTTAGCAAACGAAAAAACGGACACTAATGAAGCTTCTGAAGAAATCATTAGTACCAATTAAGCTTTGAGCCTATATTCTTAGCACTAACAATCATTCCAAAATAACGACACCGGTGAAGCAAAACTCACGTCTTAACACCAAAAGAATTAACCAAGGACTTCAAGGCATGCTAATTAATTAAAACTAAAAACAGTAAGCAATTAGACTAAAATATCCTTAAAAAATAACAAGTGAAACAGTAAACCAATCGTGAATCAATATTTAAGCAAAATAGAAAAAAACATTCAAACTTATAGCACACATAATATGAATTGGAATCCGAAAACTGGAGAACAAGAAATGGACCTTTCAATAGCTAAATATTCTTTGGTACAACATGAACAAAGCTCTGATGGACTTTTGTACGAACTAACCACAACCGGAAACGGTATCGAGAACCTCGACGGAGCTTCTAACCTCGACTGAAACTCTTTTGTTTTAGTGTTTGGGTAAGTTTCAGCTGGTGGTTCATGGAGGAAGATGAGGTGTTAGGTGTTGATTTTTTGCTGGAATTTTAGGCTGAATTTTCGAAAGAAAGACGAAAAAAGAATGACATAAGTAGAAATTCTCTTATCTTAGAAGAAGAAAATAAATTTCTCTCAATTCCCTCTTCCCTTTTTTTCTCCCCTTATCTCCACTTTTTTTTTTTCTCACATATCATTTCTATTTATAGAAAGAATTTCGCAATTTTCAGATTTTTTATTTTATTTATTTTTTAATTTTTTTTAATTAAAAAGAATTTCCACTTCCTATTTTTCTTATTTTTTTAAAAAATAATTCTCCACTTTTCTTTACTTTTATTTTTTAATTTTTCACTTTTTTTTTACTTTTAATATATTTAAAATCTCACTTTTTTTTACTTTTCTTTTTTTATTTCTCACTTATTTTACTTTTTTTTTTAATTTCCACTTACTTTACTTTTATTAAAACAAAATCTGATACCCGTACTTTTATTTTTTAATTCCAAATTTATTTTACTTTTCATTTTTTAAAATTTCCAGATTCTTTTACTTTTATTTTTTTTTAATTTCCCACTTTCTTTTACTTTTTTTATTAAAAAATTCCACTTACTTTTACTTTTACTTTTTAATTTTATATTTCTACTTTTCCTATTTTTTAATCCCATCTGAAATTTGTTTTTTTAAAAAATTAATTAATTTTTATTTTTTTCGGTTTTTTAATTCATTTTATTTAAAAATAAAGATAAAAATAAAAATAAAAATAATACTAATAGTAATAATTGACCTTTTAAATTATTATTAATTTTTAACCTATATAAAAAAAAATATAACAAAGCTAAAAATATATATATTAAATTTCTGAAAATATTTACATAGTAGAAGGTGATAAAAATTTAAATATAGTCAAAAATTAGGTGCTCATAGCTGCCCCTCTTTGCTTGAAAACATGAAGAGTTTTCAGGCAAAGACTAAGTGAGTCATGACTAATTTTTGACCAAACCATTATTCAAAATGAAAAGAAATAAAAGATAAGGTACAACCGAGTCCTAGTTTTGGACAACCTACATATCCCGGGTTATAGGGGAATCAGGTCGCGTGTAGTTCAAGGAGAATGGTGGAATGATGAGTTGAGGAGTCAGGTGAGGTTCTGTCGAGGCTCCGGTCCGTTGCCCTGCTATTATATCAAAATAAAAAAGAAACTAAATAAGTCTATCACTTATGAGTTACAAGATTCCTATCTATGAGTCTTCTGAAACTTGATCTTGAGTCTTGACTGGTTCTTCATGCAAACTCTGATCTAAACCTTGATGCTCACTAGCTGTGGGTTCCAGTTTATTGTCCTATAGCTTCTTCTAATCAAAACGGGACTCTAATGCTCATGGCTTCAGTCATGTCTTGAGCATTCCACATCTTTTCAAATGCTTTTGCATTTTGGATTTACTTATTTTTTCTTTTCTTTTATTCTGAATTGAGACTACTTCTTTTGGTCATCTCGAACCCTGTGCCTTGAGGTAAAACCTACTCAGACACTAAAACAAACAAACGGACAAAAATTTTCTGCCCCAGTTTGCACTGGAAAACTTTCGTGAGTTATTGTAACAAAATTCTAATCTACTTCTTTATTGAAAACAATAAAAGGCCGGGAGTGGTGTATCCCCAAAAAGTTATTTTTTTGGAAGGTGTTCCTTTATTGTCAAAAGTATGTCTCAACTAAGGATTGGTATACCTTATGTTGGGAAAATGTAGCCAGGGAATGAGATACCCTATATTGGCAAATATATCAGGGAGTGGTGTACCCTGCATTTAAGATTAAATCAACTAGGGAGTGAATACTCTATGTTGGAAATGAGACTAGGGAGTGGAGACCCTATGTCTAAAATAAAATCAACTAGGGAGTGGAGACCCTATGTTGGAAAAGAAGATTAGGGAGTGGAGACTCTATGTCTAAAATAAAATCAACTAGGGAGTGGAGACCCTATGTTGGAAAAGAAGATTAGGGAGTGAAGATTCTATGTCTAAAATAAAAATCAACTAGGGAGTGGAGACCCTATGTTGGAAAGGAGACCAGGGAGTGGAAACCCTATGTCTAAAATAACATCAACTAGGGAGTGGAGACCCTATGTTGGAATGGAGACTAGGGAGTAGATACCCTATATCTAAAATAACATCAACTAGGGAGTGGAGACCCTATGTTGGAATGGAGACTAGGGAGTAGATACCCTATATCTAAAATAACATCAACTAGGGAGTGGAGACCCTATGTTGGAATGGAGACTAGGGAGTAGATACCCTATATCTAAAATAACATCAACTAGGGAGTGGAGACCCTATGTTGGAATGGAGACTAGGGAGTAGATACCCTATATCTAAAATAACATCAACTAGGGAGTGGAGACCCTATGTTGGAATGGAGACTAGGGAGTAGATACCCTATATCTAAAATAACATCAACTAGGGAGTGGAGACCCTATGTTGGAATGGAGACTAGGGAGTAGATACCCTATATCTAAAATAACATCAACTAGGGAGTGGAGACCCTATGTTGGAAAAAATACTAGGGAGTGGAGACCCTATGTCCAAAATAACATCAACTAGATAGTGGAGACCCTATGTTGGAAAAGAGACTAGGGAGTGGAGACCCTATGTCTAAAAATCATCAACTAGGGAGTGAAGACCCTATGTTGGAAAAGTGACTAGGGAGTGGAGACCCTATGTCTAAAAAGCATCAACTAGGGAGTGGAGATCCTATGTTGGAAAAGCGACTAGGGAGTGGAGACCCTATATATAAATATATCAACTAGGGAGTGAAGACCCTATATTGGAAAAGCGACTAGGGAGTGGAGACCCTATGTCTAAATAATCAACTAGGGAGTGAGGATCTAATGTTGGAAAAACGACTGGGGAATGGAGACCCTATGTCTAAAATAATCA